TTTGATTAGTTTTGCCTCTTTAAGAACTTTTAATAATTGGCAGTATACAGTAAGAACTCTTCTATGTCCGGATTGTTTTGCTCAGCATAATGCTTTTGAGATTCAGCCATGTAGTAGCATCTATCAAGAGTTGATTCTTTTATTGTTGAACAAAATTCCATTATTATGACAAACTACAATTTATTTATCTATACTCCTATTACTGAGTATTTGCATTGTTTCCAGTTGAAGAAAACTACTATGAAAATTCTTATACATACCTTTGGTGGTCATTTGTATACAATTCTTTTCAATATACCCAGTGGAAATGCTGGGTCTTAAAAGTAGATGTTATATGCAACTTTATTTTTTACTTATTCTTTTTGAATGTTTATTTTTGTGAAAGAGAGAGAAAGAGAGACAGAGTGTGAGTGGGGGAGGGGCAGAGAGCAAGGGGGACACAGAATCTGAAGCAGGCTCCAGGCTCTGCACTGTGAGCACAAAGCCCAATGACGGGCTTGAACCCACAGACCTGTGAGATCATGACCTGAACCAAAGTCAGCGACTTTCAAAAATCACTCACACATTTCTAAAGTGGGTGTGCAATGTGGCTTCCCAACAGAAATGTATGAAAGTTTCAACTACTCATCATCCTTATTTAGCAGTGGTGTTTTAAATTTTAACAATTCTGGTGGGTATGTAGTGGTATCATTATGGATTTCCTTTCCTCATTTACCTGAGGGCTTATGATGTTGAACATTTTTTTCTGTATCTATTAACCATTTGTGGATTTTCCTTTTGAAGTATCTGTCTTTTGCCCACTCAAAAAAAAAATTGGGCTTTCTTGTTATTGAGTTATAAGAGTTCTTTATAATATATATATATATACATATATATATACGTCCTTTGTCATATATGAATATATATATACACACAGAGATATATACATATATATGTATATGTGTATATATATATATTTTTTTTCTTCCAAACTATTGTTTGTCTGATAATTTCCTTGATGGTGTCTTTTGAAGAGCAAAGTATCTTAATTTTGATGAATCCAATTTATCAGTTTTTCCTATAATTAAGACGTGTATGTATCCTGAAATTTCTTTCCCTACCCCAAGCTTGAAAAAAATATTCTCCACTTATTTCTTTTCTAGTTTTAGCTTTCACCCTGCCTCACAAATCCCAGCTACCCTAAAGCAGCCATGAAGTTTTGTTTTCTGTGCATCATGACACTTTTTATTTGGTCTTTATTTCTCTGTGCTATGATTCATTCAAAAAGTGACACCAAGGGGCGCCGGGGTGGCTCAGTCTGTTACGCATCCGACTTCGGCTCAGGTCATGATCTCGCAATTCCTGAGTTCAAGCCCTGCTTCGGGCTCTGTGCTGACAGCTCGGGAGTCTGGAGCCTGCTTCGGATTCTGTGTCTCCCTCTCTCTCTGCCCCTCCCCCGCTCACACTCTGTCTCTCTCAGGAATCAATAAACATTAAAAAAAAAAAAATCTAAAAAGTGGCACCAAATTGAAAGCTAGGGAGAATGTGAAATTGACCTCGTGCATTCACCTCTTCCAAGCTGTCTGGTGTCTTGAGTCCAAAATCATTCGCTCCACATTGTTTCCTCGTGAGGATAAATCTAATACCTATATTTCTGTTATGGCTGGAAGCAGAAGCCAGTCTTTTATTTTAAAAACACTTTTCAACTTGGGTACTTGTCTTTCTATACTTTGCGTTAAATTTTGATATTCTTAACTGTGCTGCATTTTTGTATCTTCATGGTTTCCCTTCTGCCCGTGGCAGGGGGACAGAGATGGCAGCACACAGCACTAGAGTGGCTCACTAGCACACAAGTACCGAAGCGCTCAGTGCTCCCTCCATATTGTTAATGTTTTCCCTTCGCAGTGCAAGAGGAATTGCTAGAACTTGGATTTCTATTAGAACCCCAAGTGAGAGGTGAAAGTGCCGGCCAAGAATATCAACTTGGCACACATTAGCATATCCCTTGGGGGACTGGAGTCACTTGTCCTTATTACTGCCGGCTGACAATATTATTGTGGAGATCGTAGAGTCAGCTTTGCTCTTCAGGCAGCTCCCACATCGACATCCTTACCCCATTCACTGAGGGTTGAAATACTCTGCACTGGTTACCAAAGCCTGCACAGTTAAAGGCAGGATTTAGAACCCTGGGAAAGGTAATGCGTTGAATGGGAGTCTCCCTGAGGTGCAGAACCCCCTGATCATTTTATGGGGGCATGTCGCTGTGGAAAGGATGGCCATGGGCTGCGTGTATGTTAGGGAAGTGGTGAGAGGAAAAAGGCAGAAAGTACAGGAAGAGGTGTTGTGTTCAGCCAGGATAACCTTTGAGGATGTCACAGACTGGCTCCCTAGGGTTTGTTTTCTCAGTGGCAAAGGAAAGAGGAGAAATAATTTGACAAACAATCTTTCCTATTACCCACTTATTTCGGGGGGGATACACTCAGAGACAACTGAACAAGGTTGGAGAGAGTATCTTCTCTACTTCCAGTGCTCTCATTTGGATAACATAGATTAGAAAAAGAGAGCATTACCAAAGGAACTGATGCTCTGACTTCCTGCACCAGATACCGACAGTCCTGGGTCTCCTAAGATCCACAACTCTGTTAAGTCTTCTGTCTGGAGTCTCTTTAAAAACTGTAAATGACCTCCAGCAAGTCAGCAGCCATGACTTTCAGAGTTAAACAGTGTGTAGCCTGATTTAACCTATAGAGATAAAACATTTATTAATATTGTTAATGGTAGAAAAATAGCCTTATCCTATTTTATTTATTTACCTATAATACATCTTTATATTTATTGAGTTGCTTCCTCCTTGGTGGTATCTTTTTACCCTCCAATCCTTTCTTCTTCAAACTAGACCTCAAAGCATCTTACCATGGGTACAGTTTGTTACAAGCAGAAGGAGAAAACAAAATAGTTAATTTCTTGGTTTTTGAGGTTCAAAAACTTGATCTGATTCTTAAGACCTGGGTGTTGGAGCCATGAAATCTAAGCCCTGAATGACCCTTAGAAAAATTTTTTCTTTCCAGTGAAATTCACTTACTCTCTCTATCCCCAAACTTCTAATAGAAGATAAAGATTATCAAAGATAGGGATGGAGAAATGTCAGAGAAAGGATAATGAAAGTTAGATGCCCCATGTTCTGCCCCCACCCTGGCCGGTTCCTGATGAGTTGGGGACGGTAGGGATCTGAGAACGGAGAGGACCTATGCGATCTTCTTTGTAGATAGTTTACAATTTCTTTTTTTAAAAAACTATTTTAATGTTTATTTATTTTTGAGAGAGAGACAGAGACAGAGCATGAGTAGGGGAGGGGCAGAGAGAGAGGGAGACACAGAATCCGAAGCAGGTTCCAGGCTCTGAGCTGCCAATACAGAGTCCAACGTGGGGCTAGAACGTACGAACCGTAAGATCATGACCTGAGCCAAAGTCAGACACTTAACTGAGGGAGCCACCTAGGGGCCCCTAGGTTACAATTTCTTAAAATGGCAAATATCAACATATAATTTTCTCCAAGTTAAAAACATAACTCTAGTAGAAATATATAGTGAGCATGTGACAAAAATGAATTTAATTCATTAATAAAGGAACCAGTTGGATGGTAAAGTTCGTTTCAAGGAGAGTATAAGAAACTGACCTGTCAGTGAATAATGCATTCTTATAGGGCAACACTATCCTAAGTTTTGGGATTATCTGTTCTATTGAATGGAAATAATTTAAATAATTTAAACTTTATTGGACAAAGATAATGTGCAACTTACCAATTTCCTGTAAGACTCGGGACCTTCATTAATAGTAATTAGTAAGCCAAAGTTGCTTCTCTTTTGATGATGAATTCTCAACTGAGAGGTGGTATTGCACCTTGGAATGAAAATTCATTCTTGGTGGTCAAAAAAAAATCTTCGGTATTACAAGTGTACGTGGCCCTCCAAAGTTCAATCTTCTTCTTGATTATTTATTTTCTCTTATTAAGGGTAAATTATACCAATTAGTCAACCAGTTCATTATTAATTAAATTAATTATCCTATATTAATTAATTAAAATTAAACTGGAATGTAAGTACTTTTTTTTCTTTGGGGAAAGGGATAATGAAAAAGAGTTGAGAAACACTATCCTAGATAGAGGATCAGATGACCTTATAAGAGGGCTTGTTCGATGATACTCCACAATTAATTTTAAAGAGCACTAAACCATGTTTTCATCTTATTTTCAAGTTGTGGATAATTTTTCTTAAACTACTCTTAGTGGTTTAAGAGCCGTAGAGTAGAAATAGCTATGTGGGACATCTAGACAGAATGGGTCAGGAGCAGCTAGCTTCAGAATCCCTGGAAAGATGTGAGAACAGAACTATATCTTCTGGGAGATCCAAGTCCCCAGGATGCAGCTGGAAGTCAGCCCTGGGGGAGATCAGAAGCCGGAAGTGAGGGGTATAGTGACAGCAGCTACCCACAGCCCAACAGGTGCCAGAGGAGAAAGGCCATGTTGACTACCAGCCACACACAGTGCCCCAGCATTCTCAACATCCTGTTGAACTGTACCTGCACCCATAGGGGTAGGAACAGAACTGGCTCTGAGTTGAATCAGATTGTGTTTCCACTAGTCAACACAACGGGGACTCAAAATAGAAATAAAGCTCAGGTGGAGGAAAATACAATACACCACATGTCTTCTACTCCCACTTTTATGGCATGAGATTTTGCTAAATATATGTGCTTGTGAGGAAAACCCACCCAATAATGTGGTGGGGACAGAGTGCTAGATTCCTCTACACTTCTTGAGAACTCAAAATAGCCATTGAGTGGAGCCATAGAAAAGCATGCCCTGGGGCTAGGTGAGATTTTCCTGTAGTAATTCTCACACGTGCTATGCTATGGGTACATAGGGCTTGCTAATTTCTTCAATCAAAAGCCAAAGACTCCAGTATTGAATTAGTAGAAATGGTGGCCTTTCTCCAGAAAGTTCTGCTGGTTGCTCTTTCCTTTTGCTCATCTTGGTGTTTTTCTTCCAGGTAGTAAAAATCCAGTTGGAATTTAAGCGCTCAGCGTTTTCCTTCCTGAGCTGCCTGAATCTCAGAATAAGAGCCTTGAGCACTGTGAAGTGAAGCTCCCATGAATAATTCTGGCAAAATTTTACTGCCAAATAAGACAGTCAACCAACTCTGCGTAGACAAGAATGATGGCCCACAGCCTGTGTCAGCCACTGCTGCCCTCGGTCTCTTGCCCCCAGGAAGTTCCATTGGAACCTTTGTAGTGTCAAAGTATAATTTCCAGAAAGGTGAAAACCTAACTCTCATAGAAATGTAGAATGAACTTGTGTCAAAGATTTCTTCAACTCGTTAATGAAGAAGCCAGTAAGATGGAAAAGCTGGCTCACAGAGGATTTGAGGAACTGAGTATTTATTTACAAACATTTAAAAAAATGTTAGAATAAATTGCTAGGTTGGATATGCATTAATGCCCTACAGGGCAAATAAAACCAAAAATTCTGGGTTATTTTATGTGCTAGGCAGAAATCATTAGTGTTTCTCCTGGACAGAAATCTCTATCAGAGGATAGAATTAATGGACGGCAAAGTCAAACACAGGCATGTTCTCCTAGATAATTGAATATTCTTTTCGCAGGCTTATTAAGGCATGCCCTAGTATGACATTGAAAAGACATGACTTCTCTTTGCCTTATCTTTCACGTTTTGGCTAATGTATCTGAATAGTAGCTCTTTGAAATACTGGTGATGGTGTCTGGAACTTATCTCTGAGCTGCAAACACTGTTAAATAAGTGCTTCTGGACATGAATACACACACACACACACACACACACACACACACCATAATTATATATATTACATATATATACCATACCATATATATACTATAATTAGAGATATAGCATACATATATACCATAATTGAACAAAACAAACAGCATGTTGCAGGAAGGCTCTGGCTTAGAAAGGAGGAGACCAAGTGGGAGGTATAGGGAATTCATGGCATTTTGTGTCATCGAACTTCATATTATTTACTTTGGGCTCAAAAAGAATTTTGGCTCAGATCAGGTTGAAAAAGGAAAACAGAACGAAGAAACACGTTGCTTGAATTCTGGTTCAGCCGTTGACTAAACATACGACTTGGGCAAAGTCACATCAGATTGCTGTAGGTGGCAGCTGTCTCCAAAGATGGCCCCCAGTGAACTCTGCCTCTACTTAACATCTTTGTGCAGTCCCCTCCCAGTGTGACCAGGAATGGTGCTGTGGCGCCCTTTTAACCAATAGAATGTGGGAGAAGTGATACTACCTAAGCTGCGCTAGATGGCCAGGCAGCTTCTGCTTCTGTGGTCTTGGAAGCCAGTCCGGATGCAAGAAGTCTGAGTGTCCTGCTGGGGACAGAAGCCACGCAAAGGGAGTCGGAGGGCCAGGCGCCACATGAAGAGTGAGGCGTCACTGAGGAGCTTTTAGGTAACGGGCACGAGATGGACGATACCAGATTGGAAGCGCCAGCCCACTCGAGCTTCAGAAGACACCAGACTCGCTCATCACATGATGGCAACCACGTGAGAGACCCCGAGTAAGTAGAGCAGAAGTGTCCCGCTGAGTCCCTCAAGCCATAGCATCGTGAGAGATATTAAATTGCTGTAATTCATTAAGTTTTCGGTTGTCTTGTTATATAGTGATAGATTACCAAGACACTATTCCCTACAAGGACTTGTAACATTCCCTTTCGACTTGACTCTTTCTTAATTCTTCCTCCAGTGGACAAGGGCGCAGGGTGTCTACCCCCCTGACAACAGGCACTCAATGTTCATTTGAGTAATGGAAGTATGTAGTTAAACCTGGGGGAAGTGGTAACACTAGTCTGCGGAAAACGAAATGAGGAGTTTTAGTAAGTTTCTCTTTGCCCAGAAGGAAAATTGCAGCCCAGCTATATTTACCACGTGTGCGAAATACCATATTATGTTCTCACGTTTCCTGATTTGAACTTTTTGTTTCATTCAGGCTTTTGTTCAAATACCATCTCCTCACAGAGCTCTTCCATCATCCTATCTGAGGTAGCGCCCGCCACTTTGTATGCCCTTATTGTGTTTTATTTTGCTCCCTAGCTGTTCTCTACCTGACATTACACAACCCTCTATTTTTTGTTGTTTGTCTCTCCCTAGAGTGTTAGCTTCCTTGGGGACAAAGACTTGGCCTTCCCTGCTCCTGTGATGTCTCCAGCCCCTGGGACATTGGTGGGAACATGTCTGCCAGTCAAGGAATGTTTGTTGAATTGACTAACGTAAATGTCTACTATTTCCCAACTTGGAAAAGAAAGACTGGAACTATGAAGGAGCTTGGGGGTCCCAAGTGGAAAATATTTTCCTTCGATGTCCCAAAGGAAAAGGCTTTGTGCCGGTATTTGACTGCAGTAACTGAGGCACTGGGAGAGAAAATTCTTTCTTTTTTTTCCTGCTCAGAACAAATACAACAGAGAAGAAATGCCGGGATGCTATGGAAATGCAGAGGATTTGGGGACAAACTTCTATGGTGGTGCTAAATGCCTTACAAACAAGCAAACAAAAAGCCATTAAAGAATTTGTGAGATGTTATTGCCAAGCAAAGGCAGACTGTGTGAGAGGCACACAAGAGTGAAGTTGAGGCTCATGAGAAAAGTAGGGTTTGGGGGGAAAAGTAAGTTTAATTGTAATGATGGAAATTTGTGGTATATCCTCTTAAAAGGAGCTATGGATGCACAGTTTCTTGAGTTATTGTAAGGTTGTATGAATCGCTGGAGAATATGCCTTTGAGGAGAATTCTGAGCAATGCTTCGTGAGAAAAGGGACACCCCGGAGGACCAGATAGGTCTTTTGCATGTCTGTGTGGATGGTTTTATGGCCCCAGAACTGGGAGTGCAGAGCAAATCTGAAAAAGGAAGAGTCATTTGAGATTTACGATAGCAACAAAAATATTTGTCTTCTAAGGAAACCTGGTTGGAAATCAAGGTTTACAGGATTTTAAACAGAAACATACTTTATTTAAAAAAATTACAATAATCTCACGATTGTTTTAAAATATTTGAGCCGACCCTAAAATAAACCATACTTCCGTAAATCTTGTCTGCAGAGTAATTTTTGAAACTAACTTTTGAAAATTTGTAATTCAACATACAATAAAACCAAGCTCTCTTTCCTCTGAATTATTTAAGACAATGAATTTTAGTATTTACTGGTGTTGTAAATACTGAAGGTTTTCAAGCTTCCCAATATGATATCAAGAAAGAAACATCAGTATCAAATGCACCCTAAGATGCAGTTCTTGGTTTTTCTTGGAAAATCCTCAGACATCTAATCTCAAGCTGTTTCTTTCTGTCCATTGCTTGTTCTGTGTTAGTGACTCAGTTTATGTTTTATGAGCCATCTGCAGATCCCACAGTGCCCAGTTGCGTCTGTCTTTAGATTATTTTCTTGAAATCCAGGAGAGAGGCAAGAGAGGATTTCATCAGACCCTGAAACTCATACTGTTTCGTATCACAAGGATCTAAGAAATGGGAATGGAAGATGAAAACACAAAGATCCTCTCTGCTCGGCTTTCAATGCTTTAAATATGAAAGTGGCTTCAGAAATCTTTCAGTCTCCATTCTGATAGCCAATTGCAAAGACAGAAATAATATCAGGTTTTGGAAGAAAACTGTTCGAATGGTCTAACATTATAAATAAGAAATCTGAGTCTCACAGAGGTGAAGCAACTTGTCTAATGATCCAGAATTCATGGTAGAATTTGGACAAAGGAACAATGACTGATGTCCAGGTAATGCTTAGGAAAATATTTTGGTGCATGGAACTCTTGGGCAATCTTTATGTCATGGCCTTCCATGCTTCTGTAAGTTTGTTTTGCCTAACTGCAAAATGTTCTGTACAAAGAAACACTTAAGGATTCCAAACCAGTAGAATTTTTTGACCCTGAGTACAGATAATAGATATAAAGGAAACTCTATGTGTATGGAAACTAGTAAATGGATGTCTTTTCTATAGTCAATTTTATTATAGGATGGATGTCTGCACGTATTTTATAACAATAAAAAACTGTTCTCTGTCTTAATCACTATGTCATTTTTCTTCCTAAAGAAACCCCTTTCCATCTATTTCTTCTGGTACTTATACCCATATTTCCATACAGTAATAGAAATCGCAGTTAGGCTAATTCGTAGTAATTTTGAACATTATTAACTTCCTGTTGGCAATTGAGGGTTTAGCTCAGTCCAAATGTTACTTATGCCAGAACCTAAGATTTAATTTCTCAACCCCTGGCGAGTGGGGACTTGACATCAGATTTACTGATTTTGGGAAAATCACTGAATTTCTTGCGACCAAACGTGTGGCAGTTTCGTATCTGTCCCACGCTGTATGCACAGATTGGAGTTCTTTGCAGATATAAAGTCAGTTATGACCCAATCTTTTGAGTTATGTATTATTATTCTTGTTTTCCAATGTTCTGTAAGGAGGCTTAATGAGGTAAGTCCAAGGTTATATAACATGTAACTGGCAAAGCCGGGATTTAAACTCAGATCTCTTTGATTCCCAAGACGAACCTTTTCTGAATGTTTCATACTATTCCTAAAAGAAAGCTTCTTTCAAAGAGAACTTCTTTGGTTGGGTATCACTAGGTGCTGTGGCTGTTGCTACCTTCTTGCACGGGACACTTTGGGAAAGAGAATTCTGTAAGTTTTCAGGAGAAATATAGAGTCATCTTGATAATTCATCGCAAGAAGAGGCACAAGTGAAATAGAGAAGGGCACCCGGCATCTGGTGATGGGAAGAAGAGGCCAAGTTCCCAAATTGATTTCATGAGAGAAGAGGACAAAACTGAGTCCAGGAAGCAGCGGATCTGAACCGCTCCTGGGCAGGTTGATTCTGAGAGATCCTTTGCATCCAGCTGGTTGGGGAAAACTTGGGCTACTAGGAGAGGTTTCTTCAACACAGGCTTATATTGTATCTATAAGTGGCTTGTGTCTTCAGTACCAAGTATGAGAAGCACTACAGCGTGCTATGATATTGCTGAATGTAAATGGAAGAATGAAAGTGACTTTGACTCTTCCCTTCTTTCCTAGACTGGAGAGGAAGATGGCTCTTGCCCAAGAACTTGATTGCATTTTTTTTTCTTTTGAGGTCAACAGCCATGTGAGTGAGTGTGAGCCAGAGCAGAACCCCCCAGCTAGGCCACTCCCAGTGCCCCACAGACTGTGAAGTAATAATGTTTATGGTTTTAACGTGGTAAGTTTTGGAATAATTTATTACAGAGCAATGGATAGAACACTCTATATCAACTTTCCTCTGTATTTTTTTTTTATTCTTTGATCACATGGGCTCTTGTTCCTAGACCCACCCTTGGGCTAGTGGCATAATTTCCATCACTGAGCTTTAACATGGGCTGAATAGACTTCTGTGAATACTCTCTGAGATGTAACTACCATTTGCAAACTTACTCATGATTGCATTCTTTTTTTTTTTTTTTAAGTTTACTTATTTTGAGAGAGAGAGTGTGCCTGCGCATTGGGGTGGGGGAAGGACAGAAAGAAAGAGGTAGAGAGAGAGAGAGAGGGAGAGAATCTCAACACACAGGACTTGAACTTACGAACTGTGAAATCATGACATGAACTGAAATCAAGAGCCAGATGCTTAACCCACTGAACCCCCAGAACCCGCCATGATTGCATTCTTAAAGGCAGTGATTTCAAAGTTTTGGTAGCATCTTTTGTCACCCAAGGAAATGACCCTTGTGAGGTGTCTCTTTCAGTGACAAGTTGTTTCCAGCACCAGCAGGTCTGAAAGTATGTGGGTGTGGAGTGCTGAGTGGTGAAGGAGGGACCAACCCAAAATCCTGGGAACAGCAAAGTAAAGAGGAAACCCCATTGTGACAGAAGTGGTGTTATGTCATGGCATGGTAGAACAATGTGTGTGTTCTTTTGGGTTTTAAACTTGACTGTCTCTGAGAATTATGTTGTTTTTGGAAAAGGTGTGTGTGTGTGTGTGTGTGTGTGTGTGTGTGTGCGCGCGCGCGCATGCTTTGGTCTGTTTGACTGACTTAACACTTACTTTTTGGGCAATGAAAAGAAGAGAGAAGCAAAACTATTGCTCACACTGGTGGAGAGACCTCAAAGAGAATGGAGTTTAGGGCACCTCTACCTACCAAAGACAGGGGTAAATTTGATCTCTGTTCTGCTGGAAATGTCAGAACTTATTCTAACATAAATATTCTGTGAGCATTGAGGAGATCACTACAAAGACTGATTGCTATGGGTAGGGCAGGAGGTTTTCTAGAAAGGTGGTGGAAATTCACAGGAGAGTAGGGATGAGAAGAAAGTATATTGCAAAAAGTACAGAAGAGCACAATTAGGAGCTGGGAGAATCCACGAAGGCTCTTTGTGTGTTTTGACTTCTTGGATACCATTTTCTTTTAGAGCAACGGAAAAGCCTTACTTAGGATACAGAAAGACACATATCATCCCTCCCACCAGCCCCTGATTTGTAATTCCCTTGGTAATTCAATTCTTCAGGAAAGCCTTATGTGTGATGTGGTGGAGAAAAGAGGGCCAAAGCAGTGGAGGTGGCTATGGAATGTCTTGCTCCTCATCCAGACCTTTGATGGAGTCTGTGCACAGGCAGGGGGCATTCTGGGAACTGAGGAGCCATGTGGTTGGAGGTGGTCTGGCAAGGGACAGTAAGGACCCATCGCCAAGTGGGTCCTCTCTCAGGAGAGAGTCACACGAATCTTCTTCCTGTGCTTGCTTATGCTGTGCTAAAGGGAAGTGCATGCTGAAGGCAGGAGGCTGAAGCCAGGCTTACCTACCTTATTTGAGGAGCAGCTCAATTCTACCACAGAGCTGTCTGGGCTGTGGAAAGCAGAGCTCATTTATCTTAGAAAAGTCAATAGCTGCCTCATTTGTTCATTTTACTTATTTGTGCTTTTAAGACACGGAAGGCACAACTAATTGAAGGAACAGCCAATATGAAGATGCTGTCTGTGATTCAAAAGACCAAATTAAAACCCCCAGTGATGATAGCTCTGGGATGGTGGTGGAGGCATCAGTATAGTCTTGGGGAATTTTCCAGTCATTCACAAAAAGGAGGAGCACGATGAGAGAGCCAAACCAAAAGCCCAGGAGCAACATCAACCAAGTTAGGTGACGAGGGATCCCCAGGCACCTCCAACTATAGGGGGGTGAAGACCAATCACCAACAGCCACAAGAGCTGTGTGCTGTTGGCTTCCATGTGAGAGAAAGGGGAGAAACCAAGGGAGACATTGGTGTATGTGATGGATCTGAGAACAGGAGAATCCCCACATGGCCAGTGGGTGTTCCCTGGGAAGTGAATGAAGCTGGTTGAGCTCCCTTATTCCATCACAGGCATCTGGAGCCCTGCTACCATAAGCTCTTAGGCCTGAGCAAGCATGGCTTCCTTCTAGAACTGGGCCCACACTAGGGAGACACCTCTGGGTGGGACAAGGTTAGCAGGAGAGGGATAAGGGAGATGAAAAGAAAGGACACAGACAAAAGTGGGGGAGGAATGGGGCAAGGGCATCTCAGGAAACAAGGAACGTTAAATCATAACACAACATGGGGACAACAGAAGAGGGAGTTCCGTGAAGTCAGTCTGCTGGTACCAACTCTTCTAAAAGGTCAGGAAAATGCAATTCGCATGAAAATGGGCAGCAGAACGATACCTAGGGGAAGTTCCATAGACAGATTATTAAGGATAAAAGAGAATAGGGAATGGAATAACCTTCTCCCAAATGATGAAAGTCTGCTGCAAAGACATTCTGTGTTATGTCATTTAACCTCTTCATATTAAAGGTGAGGAAAAGTGGGACCCTGGAGAGGTTTGGGAAGTGACCGCATGTTCAGAAAATTAAAGAGTGACAGAGCTGGGATGTCTGGCCTATAAACATTTAGATTCATAGATTAAAATTTTTTTAATGTTTATTTATTTTTGACAGAGAGAGAGAGAGAGAGAGAGCGCATGAGCAGGGGAGGGGCAGAGACAGAAGGAGACACAGACCCCAAAGCAGGCTCCAGGCTCCGAGCTGTCAGCACAGAGCTTGATGTGAGGCTCAA